GTCTTTAGATCTAGCTCAGGAGTAGTACTAGAGATGACCAGTACGGGTGACTAATTCTACCACTGGTTCATAACTCTCTCATTGGTTCATATTCCCAGGCATTAATTTAGATCCACTCTTACTCTACAAGGATGCGAAAGTATATCCCGGCTAGGGATTGGAGACCAATTATATAGTTATTAGTAATATTAAAGGCTTCTGTCCTAAGAGCTATCATGGACTACTTGTTGTAAACGCCAACCTAAAAGATACACCGGTTTAAAAAAGAGATATTATCTTATTCTTACAGGGTTTAAGCTTAATAGTTGGTCGTACCATTATGGTCAAATGTTATATGTAGAAAAGTCTCTGCTCTCATATATGTCCACGAAGACATATAAAAAGACATATAAAAAGAGTATAACAAGGCCGCATAAACCGCCAACCACAATTCCTGTCTTGTTGTATATGCTTCAAGAAGGGGATGAAAGAGGCGGTGGGGTAATATCCAATGACAGATTTATGAACCGGTGGCATATTTAGTCACCCGTGGACCAGACCTCGGGAGAGCAGTGCATTTAATACGCCGTATAGCAAAACCGGATAGGAGGAAAGAAGACAGAAAGTAAAGATTATACGGAGTGGGTCCTGTTGTCTATTATTGGTGCGCCACAACTTAAATATGTTAACAGAAATAGACGAGTACGACAATAGACCGTTCTGACCGCAATTAAATCATATAGACTTGAGAATTAGTTCACGATTAACAGGGGTGGTAAACCAACGGTCAACGTGAGGAAAAGCAATGGCGGGCGGTGAAATTGTGACCGAACGTTCAATAAACCAGGCGTTTTAAAGAGGGCATGTAAAAGTGGTCTACATTACTGTATAGCGTGAAAAGATTGGCTAACTGAGCGTCCCTTACCCACCTAGAGCGCTGGTTCGTGCATTTTATAATACCCTCGTACCCCCGGATAGTGCTGATACGGCCAATGGTATCCTTTATGAGCCACTCTTGATATTTAAAATTATGTTCTACTTAGATTTTTATTTAGTCAGCCCTATTCTTGCAGGAGAAAATCAACCAGGAGGCTTCCAATCATACTTACAGTTTAGGTACCTCGTCACATCCAGTGGTCCTTCTCCAGTCGCATGATTTGGTCTTCCGATTGAAAACCAGATTGTCAGGGCATTGGTAGAAAGTCGGCTCAAATTTGTCACATTCAATATATCGGGTACAGTCGTATATGTCTGGGTAAAGACCAGTCTCTTCCGGACACTCAAATTCGTTAGAACCTTGGGAGAAGGCAACAGGTAGAAGTGGAGTAATAAGCATAGAAGGACGCATTATGGGATATGACCAATAAGGCGGCTTGGTTAAAACCGAAGAAAATTAGAAAGATGCCCTTGTATAAACTGTCTCTAGGGGTTCCTTGAATTATGTACCTTTATATATCTTCCTTGCTAGGGATTAAAGGAGTCAGAAAACATCGCTCAATTAAGATTCACATGCTTTTATTGGGTCCCTAGGAAATAGTGCGGTAAACCGGAATTCTAATATTTTAGTAGTAATAAAAGTGGAATGGGCTTACAAGGAGTAAACCTTAAAGCTTAAGATCCATTAGCTTAGTGAAAAGATCCGCTAAGTGTATTGGCGATCGATCAATCGGCACCACCTATACTAGTGTGTGGCTCCTAGGAATGCCTAGATATAGGTAACAAAATATGATTGGATACTAGCATAGTCTTTTGGCCGAGTGAGAGAATGTGCGCCCGGGCATATCCTTTACAAAATGGCAGTAGTATTCCCCACAGTTAAATAATCCCGTAGCTTGTCAATAACTGCTCCACCCTACTGACGACCCACATCTCGGTAAACTACACAATAACCTCCTATCCTATGCTAACTACTATAACCTCATATGGTATGTCGAAATCCAGAAACCTTCTCTGCTCTTCTAGGTTGACCGCCTTTAGTTCTCTACTAGACCTATACATTTTAAATTATCTTAGTGATACGATTCAGATTGGAGAATTTACAATCTCGGTCGTAATCATAGCCCTATCGGCAAACAACAAAAATTCCTACCTAGAAACCGGAAATCTTTTTTTAAGGGATAAAACATTCTTACTAGTATAATGCAGCTATTAATATAACTAAATACAAAGACATAAATTCTGTTTTTTTTGGTCTCGTGTTACCAATCAATAAATGTAAAGGTATACAGTTTTCAGGCGTAAGGCCTGTCAACCGGGCAAGATACAAGGACTTGGAGAGGAACGGGAATGTATTTTCTGTGTGTGTTAAGACTAATTCTTGCCAAAAGAAGAGGTAGTTGAACTAATTAAGATCTAATTTTTGGACGCGTTTGGGTGCGGTGGCTAGCTCGCTTGTGAAATACGTCAGATCCAACTGCTTGTAAATTGGTAAAGATGGTATATTCAATACATCGCGAAAATTAGCCTATTTTTGGCGGAGCCACATTGATGAAGTTCTTACGGAGAGGGTATGCCTTAAGGCGATCTTTTGCCTATACATATTTCTATCTTACGTGGTTCATGCTGTGGCGTAGCTGGAAATGTTATCAGCTTCACCTCCTAGTTTTATGACCTCTTCCACTGACCCCTAGGCTGAAATCTGCCTTATTTCAGCCTCGGAATTTGAACAAGCGTCTAATTCCAAGTGAGACCTTCACATCCAATCATCTTACGTAGGGAGTGTTTAGCAATCAATAGATGGACTTGCTCTTTTGGCCGCGCGGACTTTGTACCAACTCAGCTCTTACGGCCAGCACTTCATTTGGGACTTGAGTCAATCTCACACTTAGGCGGGAAACAATTCATTATATAGGCGGCAACATTATCTATAGATACCCGTGGACTCCGTCCTCTGTACACACCCCATCCCTCGCTCGCTCCATGTACATATGTATGAAGGGAGCATTTGACTCTTGATAAAGCGTCACCGACGGAACCTGTGATCTTCAAAGATTCCTCTAGAGACAGTATACCCACGTGGATCTCGTCATCGGGCAATTCGTCGCCCCCATTGCCCTCACAAAGTTCTGCTGTAAGAACACGATCAATTGCTCGTGTGCGTTTCCCGGCATGATTTAGAATAAAATTTGCTCGTCGGTGAAAGTGGCCCTAGAGCCACTACGCTTTTTCTACAGAAGTTGCTCGATTTTGTTTTGCTCGAAACCAGAGACTAGGAGGTTGTGGGTGGATATGTTGACGTTCGCATCGATCGTTGCCTGGATATGAGATATCTTCTTCCGCGCTTGGCGTATGTCATCGGTCCAGAACTCCTCTGTTTTATCTGAGACACAGAAGTCCGACTCGCTCGGTGTTGTTTTCGAAAAATGAACTCTGTGATTGCATGCCCGTGACTACTGCTGAAGACATGCCCAGGTGGGACAGTCAGCCGTCTGGTTCGGCGAAGGTGCAGATGTGAACCTCGGAGGACCAGGTGTTACGAGGGCTTCTTTCCTCGTATTCGGTGACGCCATCGTGCTTTCCTGAAGCAAAATCAATCGATAAAGGGCAGTCACGGCTAAGGAGTGGTAATAGAGATGACTGGAGAATAATGCACTTGGTACGCCGTATAGCAAAGCCGTATAGGACGGAAAGAAGAAGAAGAAGAGGAATAGAGTCTATACGGAGTGGGTCCTATTATCTATTATTATTATTTACAGTAGGTTTTAGACGCCATCGCGCCAACCGGGTTTTTACCAGGCAGAAAATTAGTCAAAGGTTATACATCAAAGTTTATACATACAACATAGAAAAGTTTCTTACACAGAGTATACTTTTTTTACCGTCTTCGTATACACCTAAAAAGGGCATCCAAAAGAGCATCCAAAAGACATGACAAGGCTGCATGAGCAGCCGACTATTCTTATTAAGAATAAATTTAATAATCTATACCTATAGTACGAATTTCACTCGCACTAGTATCATATTTAGAGGGGATAGAATAAGTCTGTCCTTTACTCCTTAGGGCGTCTTGCTTATTATTCCTAGAAAAGAAGAGTCCTTCTATATCCTTCAATATTACCGATCTCAATCTCCTTGGTAATGATTTCTTAGATGGGAGAAGCCGAATTATATCGGTTGGGGCGATGGCGTCTAAAACCTGCCGTAATTATTGGTGCGCCACAACTTAGAATGTGCCTCTAGCTGGAACCTCGGAAGATCTGCGAGACTTATATATCAGCTTCACCTTGTTCAAATTCCTGGGTTGAGATAAGGCAAAGGTCATAAAACTAAAAGGAGGGTCTAATGCCGAGTGGGACCTTTACATCCAATTATGTTAGTGGACGTAGGGATTATTTAGCAATCAATAAATAGACTTGCTTTTTTGGCCGCACGGACTTTGTGCCAACTCAGCCTCTTGCGGCCAGCATTTCATTTGGAATTCGAGTCAATCTCTCACACTTAGGCGGGAAATAATTCATTATATAAGCGGCAACTTTATCCATGGATCTAGCCCTGGAGGTATCAATCAATACCCGTACTCCGTACACCCATCCCTTGTTCACTCCACGTATGAAGGGAGCATTTGACTCTTGGTAAGGCTCCATGGACTGAAGACTTGTGATCTTGAAAAATTCCTCTAGGGACGCTGTACCGAGCCGTACCGAGCTATGTAATATTTGAGATGGGCCCAAGCTATTCTTAAAAAAGATTAGGCCCCCGAGGCTGACGGGTTGCCGAAGCTGATCGTTCTTGGCCAATTAACCCTAGGAAACGATCTACATAAATACGAGAGGAGACACATAACTATTACCTTTGTACAGGTACATACATAGTTTATAGTTTCCCACTTAGCTGAACTATCCTTTATTAATGTTGATCGTATCACCCTGCAGCCCAATACTTATGAACTCCATCTGGACTCCGTACCTCGTGTATCTACCCCTGCCCTTTAAATTTATTCCCTAAAATCCTATTGTAATTTCAGTTCTCACCATTATTTTCATGTGTGCACAACGTCGAGGATCCTTAATAATCCGATAGATATGAAGCCATCTATCCTATTTTGCTTCATCGGGCTAGGTGCTGCTTTACATCTTGTTCCGCCTCGTCCGACGAAAAAGTTCGAGCTCAACCTGACATGGGACACCAAGGCACCCGACGGAGTTGAGCGCCAGCAAGCCTTGATTAATGGCCAATTCCCTGGGCCCTCCCTCATCTTCGACGAGGGCGACAATGTGGAGGTGACAGTGAACAATTTCCTGCCATATAACACCACGATGCATTGGCATGGCATTGAGTGAGTGTTCTCGGAAAATAACCTGGTTTATCACTAAGACAAGAATAGGCAACAAGGGACATCGTGGTCAGATGGTGTGCCTGGAGTCTCGCAGAGGCTTATTACCCCTGGCGGAAGATTTGTTTACAGATTTACTACTTCACAATATGGAACATACTGGTGAGTGGATCTAAGATCTAGGATCTTCCTACCTAGGTAGTAACTAGTTCTATTCTGCTAACATTTCAAAGGTATCATTCGCATTGCGCGGGACAAATAATGGATGGCCTATATGGGCCGATTTATATAAGGTTTGCTAATACCTACCCAAATCAAAATCCTACCTATTCACACAGGCGACTGAGTGATTATAACATCCAGGCCGCGAGATATTGCCACCAATTTGGCTAGTATGATATCAAATGATACAGGGGCACATTCTCAAATCAACAATGCCATTCGAGACCCCAAATTGCTCATGATTTCAGATTGGTTTCACAATACATCAGAAGAGCTCCGGGATATTGCAGTTTCTGCAAACCTTGATACATTGCAAGTTCCACAGAGACATTGTGAGAAATCGGGCTTATAGCTTATACCAATTCTAGATGTGCGGATTCTATTTTGATCAATGGGAAAGGCAGAGTGCGTTGTCTCGACCCTGGCTATTTGACAAGCCTAATTCCTGCACCATTGGCCCCTCTGCTTCAGGGCATGAACTTGACAGCAAAAGGGTATGTGCTAACTCTCCAAAGTGCTGATCAAAAAGCTGATGAGCAGTTCAACATAAGATGTCTTCCGGTTCAAAATACCTTTGCTCAAACAACCTTCGCTCAGCATAACTACACCGCAATCCCACCATCCTTGTTTGACCAATGCAAGGCCACAGAGTCAACGGAGGAAGTGATCAAAGTTGATCCTCTGGAGGGCTGGGTGAGCCTCAATCTCATCAGTTCAGCATCGATCTCACTCCCAGCAGGTATGTTCGTTGTTATACTTTAATAAGTTCCAGGGGGAGTAAGCTAAGCCTATTCGCTAAATACAGTCTCTATCAACAATCATTCTCTTTGGGTCTATGAAGTCGATGGTCAATACATTGTACCCACCAAAGTTGATGTATGACCACCCATCTCGCTTTGTACTCTGCAAAGTTATGAACACTGCACTGACTAAGAGTCTTTTTCCAGGCATTGACACTCAGCAACGGTGCTCGCTACTCCGTTCTGGTCCAATTGAACAAGACGCCAGGTAACTACCTGATCACAGCAGCCGGTGCAGGAGTCAACCAAAAGGTTGCCGGGTACGGCACTTTCTCTTATGTCGACAGCGACCCCTCGGTCGTCGGAAAACCCTCAATCGATTACGGTGGAAACAGCATCAGTACGGATGTTGTTGTTCTGGACGAAAATACGATCAAGCCACTTATCCCAAGCCGACCTAGTGAACAAGCGGACCAAACATACCTGCTCACCATTGGCCGGATTGAAAAAGCCTGGAAATGGTCTCTCAATGGAGAACATTCGTATAGCATGTCTCTGGAGTCAGAGAAGCCGATGTTATGGGACCCTCAATCACAGGCAGACAGTGATCTGGTCATCGCTACGAACAATGATACCTGGGTGGATATTGTCTTCGCGGTGTCTGGAGAACCATCGACTATCCAGCCTGGTCATCCGATTCACAAGCACTCAAACAGGGTCTATATTCTGGTGAGTTATTTTGAACACCTCGAGTACAAATTTCATGGTATGAATTCTGATTTGTGTTTTAAGGGTCTTGGCACGGGCGAGTTCAATTGGACTTCTGTTGCAGAGGCTCAACAGGAAATCCCAGAGATGTTTAACCTGGTCGACCCTCCAATGAGAGGTATGAGATACACAGCTTTTCGTATAGTTTTTCTAGTTCTGGGAACTAATGGATGGGGTAGATACCTTTACAACGCTTCCCGCTTTGGAAGCACCAAGCTGGATGGCAGTTCGCTATCATGGTATGTATTCCACTCGCTTTTCTTCTTCTCTTCTCTCCTTGTCCTTTTTCTTCTGGGGATCAAGAAGCTAATATGGTTGGGTTTGGCAGTGCAAAATCCTGGGGTAAGGCATTGATCCATGTAGAGCCTCTCGAATTTCCCGCTAACCAGACAGGCTTTCTTCCTCCACTGCCATATCGATCCGCACCTCACTGGAGGAATGGCGTAAGTTACCAGCACATTGAAGTTAGTATTCCAGAACATATACTAACCAAGCGTTCAGACTCGCAATCTTGGATGGCATAGATACGTGGCCTAGTATTCCTACACAATATGGCCCGAAGGGTCATTGGGGAAAGCCGGCCAAAGAGAAAACATCATTGATGGCCGTGACGGGTATAAAGGGTAGATAGTTTTGAACTCAGTTCTCTTTTTTTTTTTCACTTAAGATGATAAATGGCACTGCACAATGTGAATGGATGGATGGATGGGCATTCGACCTAGCGGTTGTCGTTGGTGATATTTGGCGCACCGCTACTTTGGATCCCCGTTCATCTTCAGTTTGAGCGCCGTTTGGTCTCAAGCTGCCGGATCGCCTTCGGGTGATGCCTTTTTTTAATCTTTTACTCAGATAACTTTCTATAGCGATGCTTCCAAAAGTATGTACATAGCATGGACCAAAGTCCAAAACAAACTAGTTTCGAACAACCTTGTTAAGTCTAGCTTGTCCTTCCAGACCTGCCTTCATGATCATACCAAAGATTTCAAGATCTTTTTTCGCATCCTCCGAAGTGGTTTTGACCGGCTTACCCTCAACAACAAATGCATAAAGCTCCTTCATTTCCAAAGTATACGCATCCTCATACGTCTTCCGAACCACAGACTCCCGGAATGAACCATCTTCCAGCTTCTCACGAATGTGCATAGTGGTAGGTAACCCCTTGACATAAGGCGAATCAAAGCAGACCTTGACAGTCTTATTCCCACCAAAGACCTCAATCGAGGCGTCGAAACGGGGAACCTCATCAATTCCCGACTCATAAGACACAGCAAAAGAGGGATATTGGAAGAGGGCACTGAAGCAAAAAAAATCAACATATCGCCCTGAACCACAGATACAGAATTCACAACTTACCTCCAAAACGGTGGGCCCCTTGCAGAGCACAAAGAAGCACCAAGCACAGCCGTAGGCATACCAAGAGCTTCTCTCATAGCACTAAGATCATGGGATCCAAGACTCCCCAGGTTCCTCCACTGGGCGGCAGTATCAGCCGTAACTGGAATCCCCAGTTCCGTCGTCAAAGCCTGTTCCAGGAACTCGTTTGTCTTGTTCGACAACTCTTTCACGTCCTCTTCCCTGTAATCCGAGAAAACTTTAGGAAAAGTACCCGACTGACCAACGAAATCAGAGTTCGGGCCGACAATATCTCGCACGCGTGCATAGCACACTTGATCAAAGCTTCCTATTTCCTTGACGGCGTCGATGAACCCGCTCGCATACCGCCGCATGTACCCCACCATGACCTTTCCGGAAGAGTTCTTCTCGAGGTTGATGAGCTGGTCTGCGTCTTGTAGGGAGAGAGCCATGGGTTTCTCGATGAAGACGACTTTGTCATATTTCAGGCCCAGGACGGCGTGCGGAACGTGGAAGGCGTCGCTGTTGGCTATCATTACGATGTCCACGTCTGGGGAAGCACAGAGATCTTCTGCTTTGCGGGTGGTCTTGGGAGTACCCCCGATGACCTTTTTGGCACAGTGCGAGAGTGCATTGTCGGAGACATCGCATAGGTAGGTGACTTGGAAGTAATCTGAGAGGAAGCCGAAATTTGGAATGTGGGCGACTTGGGTGATTTCGCCACATCTAATTGTGATATCAGAATCATTGTAAAGCGCTTTGATAATGGGGTTTCTTACCCGATTATTCCCACACGAAGGATCCTGTTGCCGGTACTCATCTTGAATGTGTGAAGTGGCTCTTCAGCTTCTCCAATGACGTAATAGTTCAAGAACGTTGAGGTTCCAAGGTTGGAAGCTGATTCTAGAAAATATTTACAGAAGATGATTTGTGCAGGACAATAGTATCAAGTCGTCGATGTCTTGAGTGAATATGCTGGGTAAATTGGATTGAAAGAGTGCTGGTCTGATGCCCCGCGAGGTGGAACAGCTCTGGAGCCCCGCTGAACTTAGTAACTTGCACGTTGGCTGAATACGACTACCGTCAACATTAAGATCTTCCGATTTTAAAATAAGACACGCAGTAGGGAGGAATATTGTATTTACTCCAACATTGGAATGTACAGATTGTAGACTCAATCTCCTGCACCTCTCACTGTTGTAGATACAGATGTCCTCATTCCGCCTATAATTCGCCGCAAAACTCCGAAATCAAAAGAAATAAATACAAAGCCCGACGAAAATCCCAATCTGCTGAAATCCAACGAAAGAGGCAAGCGGTTAAGCTCTCTAGATACTCCGAACACATTGACCAGCCAAGAGACTATTGCAGATAAACACCCATGAAAGAAACAGAGGATGTCTCCACACACGCTTCGATTAGATCTTCAATATTAGTTCTATTGAGGACATGCGCCCTGTATCAAATTCAGGCACAGTGTCCCTCGGCCAACTCCTTCCCACCATACCTTAGTATGACTCGCCGCCCGCGCCGTTGTGAGGCTGGCCGACCATGGAGGGATAGCCGTAGGCGGAAGCATCTTGTTCGGATTGGTCAAGATTGGGGTTCAACATAGGGTTTGCGCCTTCGGCATCGGGGAATCCTGTGGGACGAGCTGGTCCAGGTCCACCGGGGCCACCGACGGGTCCCCCAGCTCCATAGCCAGCGCTTGGGGGCCGCTGGTTATCACCACGGGCAGATTGAGTCTGGAGTCGAGTTAGTATTTTGGAACTAACGGCTGCTCAAGGCTTGGTCCAGGGATTGTTCCTAGGTTGCGGGGGACTCTACCTCGCGGTACTTGGATAGGTAGATCTTAAGTGCTTCGGCGTAGTTCTCAAATCCAAGCGATGTCATAGCAAATAGGATGTCTTCACCGTTGACTGTCTTGCGCTTCTCCTGCTGGCATTTCTCCGAGGCTACGAATATAGCCGATTAGTATGTCTTAACTTGGACCGAGCATGAAACCAGACTCACCTTCACTTGTGATGAATGAAATGAATTCGCTCACACATTCCTGCATGCATTCCTTGGCTTCTTTTGCTATCTTTGCATTTTCAGGTAGAGCCAACTTCATAATACGAGCCACTGGATAAGATCGGTGGTGTTAACATGTTGTGGAGATATAGGGTGTTTTGCATAATATCGTCCAAATGTGGGGATAATGGGAAGGGTTGGATATGTACATAAGTTGTACGACCGGTAAAAACATCTGGAAAAGACATCCTGGTTATATGTATGGGCTTAGGACGAAAAGAAGGGACTTTTGGACAAAACCAAAAATGCGGGGAAAAGAAAAAGGGGTGGCCCATCAACCAGGGCAAAGGTAAGGTACGCGCAAATCAGAACAGACCAAATGCAAGATGCAACATACCATTTGCAATCGGAAGCCACCGATCTTGTTCCTTCACCTCAAACTCGCCCGGGTGTCCCTGCACATCATGGTGGTCCTTGTCCATGTGATCTTGTTCTTCTCCCGATTGCGCTTCGGGGTCAAGTTCAGCGTCCTTTGAAGGAGAGTTCGACATGATTATAAGTGGTTTAGATTGTGGATCCTCGGCTTGGGCGTCAATGTGTGTTTCGCGTGCTCTGTTGTCAGACCACGTCAGATCACAATGCCGGGCGATCGCCTCCGTTTCAGACAGCGCAGAATCGGCTCCAAAAGTAGACACGGTTGTATTGGCTGGGTACAAACTATTGTGCAGTAGCCTTAAAGATAGCGTCAGCCCAGGGGGGCAGGTTTGACAATAATGCAGGATATTAGCTCTGTTATATGCGACGCGCGAAATGGCACCAATTAGCCTCGTGTTTGGAAAATGGTATGGGGCACTTTCAAGGACAGGGATTCGAGTTTAGTATGGAACGCGATCACGTACCCGTTTTACCGAATATGCGCCTCAAAGTGGTCGGGATTTGGAGTGAAGCTGATGCGGGCAACGCGCAATGACCTCGGGAAGCGTTGGATTAGGGGAGAGCCCAACTTTCTAAATCGCAAGTCGCGTAAAAAAGAGCTTTTAGATATTTAGTACGATCTGATTCGTCTCTTATTGGAGCTAAAGTTAAGGTGTTTGGGAAGATCTGGGGAGAGAGGTCAATTGGCGAACCAGAAGTTCGGGCAGATCAGCGCCTTTGATCGTTTTGGTTGGTCACCAACGTTAATCCCCGTAGACTGGTGGTATCAACTTTAGGATTTTCAAGACAAAGCACAAATGAAATGCCAATTTCTTAGGATTGGAGTAGACAAAGAGCACAGAATCAATCAAATCAAGGACTATCCAAAATCATTACCTATTAGCATGATGACATACTGGTTGGTGCAACTTGTGTCACTATCATCACAGAAGCTGGCATCATACATGTATTCAAATCCTCAGATCCTCATATTTTTGCACTTTACATTACATATCCATCTTCAATAAGTTAGGTTCTTTAAGGCCCAACCTAATGTGATGCCGTGATCATTTACTGTTCAGTCAGGCATCAAGGCTTGCATCTCTACATGTACATAAAGCATCCTAGGCACAGACACTGACGCACAAAGCATGTCTAACTTCGTATAAATCTTAAATTATTGACCAGATGGGTTGAGTTAGGCATCGATTACAGCCTTTCCTTTGACCTTGGAGGTTAGCTTAGGCTGATATATATGCAAACTCCAGACTCCGCCATCTCATGACATTGCTGAGGTCCGAGAGCCTCAGCTGAAATATCTATGATTCAAAACTTATGGGATATATATATATTTTTTTACTATGATAAGGAGCTAATCTTGCAAGTTTGAGATCAAAGCATAAATCAACGCTGCATTATGTCTAGTCTTTTGCCGTTCCCAGTAACGCCGGTAGCCTATTGCTTTCGCATTCAGATAGCACCACCCGGGAACACGTAAATTGAAAGTATACAGAGAAAAGCAATGTCACTAAGGCTGCACAACCTGAATGTTGTTCTTCTTCTGCAAAGGGGAGATTAAAGTCAGCACTGCCCGTATCAAGTTCCCAGGATATAGTTTCAGGCCCAGGAAACAGCCATGAAACAGGAGATTCGCTTACCTTCCAGGTATCCAGCTCACCCTGCTTTGACTTGTATTGCTTGAGCATGTCCTCCAATACTTGCTTCAATCCATCTGAGTTGGTCTTGAGTGTAGGAAGAACATCTTTGACGGTACGCTCGACTAGAACGCCGTTCACCATGCGGAAACATTTGCGGTCTGCAGCGAGAGGGTCGAGGGTTTCAATAACAAGTCTGGAGGGGGGAAAAGAGATGTTAGCATTATAAATACTTAAGACATCGCTGGTTGTGCTCGCTCCGTGGCATAGCCCGGGTTCAAACACAGCAGGATCCCACTATGTGGGGACAGCGCATAACCCTGGTAGTGACTCACTTGTGCTCTTCTGCCTCCTGCTCTATGTCACCAATCTTTTGTGCTAATTGCTGAAGGGTGTTCTTGAAGTTGGTGTATTGGTGCTGAAGCTCTGGATTGAGGGGTTCATGTGAGCTTTCGTGATTTCCTAGTGTTTGTAGGGGCGATGGGGAAAGCATACCCTGCTGCTTCTTGGGGTCAATCTGCTTCTGGCTAGACATGATGGCTGTTTGAGATGGTGTGGTCGGCACGTGGAAGCTCGAGAAATTGAGATGACGATGCGGGGCGGTTACTTTTCGGTGTTGGTGGAGGCCACTATGTACTATAGAACTTTTGATATACCTCACACCCATTAATAGGTGAATTTAGTTCTAAATATTACTTACATCTACTCAATTCCTCAAACTAACTGCAATGAGTATTAAAATAATTATTAACTTAACTCTATACTACCAATTATATGCTCTTAATGAACTAAGTTGTAAGCCACGTGACTGATATCATGGTTTGCAATGTTTGATTGCGATAGAGACAAGACCTGGAGGTCGACTCCACCGTTACATATCTTCTAGAATGTGAAGATAGGGCTGCTCCGCGCCAGCAATGTTTCTAAGAAGATATTTCCTTAATAAATAGAAGCTAAGGTATACTAATGGCATTATCCTTTTGGAAGAAAAGAAACTAGAACTTCCAGGGCGGTGACTTTCTTCTAGCAATAAAGGGCGGTGAGACTTTGACGCTATAGGAAAGAGGTTCGACTCCGCGGAATCACTTTCTCTGAAACTCAACCCCGCGCAGAGCTGACTAGCTCGTATATTGCGAATTACCCAAGTTTTGAACCTGGCTTACAAGCCCGGCTGAACGACATGTCTCGCAACGATATGGGCCCTCCGGCCAAAAGGCACAAAGGCTTTGGACATCTCCCTGCAGGCCTACGCGACGCAAAACGAAAGGACATTGACAACTGGGAGACAAATCGAATGCTCACCTCTGGTGTGGCACAACGACGAGACCATGAGGGCGACTTTATGCCCGAAGACGAAGAAGCGACTCGAGTGCATTTGCTCGTCCACGACCTCCGCCCGCCTTTTCTCGATGGTCGCACGATCTTCACGAAGCAGCTGGAGCCCATCTCCGCCGTTCGCGATCCGCAAAGTGACATGGCAGTATTCAGTCGGAAGGGAAGCAGGGTCGTCAACGAGCGCCGACAGCAGCGCGAACGACAAAAGCAAGCGCAGGAGGCGACAAATCTCGCCGGCACAGCCCTGGGCAACTTCATGGGCATCAAAGAGGACGAAGGAGACAGTGCAGTCGCCGAGCCTATCGAGGAAGCCTACCAAGGAGGAGGAAACAAATTTGCCAAACACATGAAGAAAAGCGGTGGTGGCTCGAGCGCTTTCAGCAGTAGCAAGACCATGCGCGAACAGAGAGAGTATCTACCCGCCTTTGCCGTCCGTGAAGATCTAATGAGGGTCATCCGTGACAACCAAGTTGTGGTGGTCGTTGGAGAGACTGGATCTGGGAAAACCACCCAGCTAACTCAATTCCTACACGAAGAGGGCTATTCTAAGTTCGGTATGATCGGGTGTACGCAGCCTCGCCGTGTGGCTGCTATGAGTGTTGCAAAGCGTGTTAGTGAGGAGATGGATGTTGATCTCGGTGCACTCGTCGGATACGCTATCCGTTTCGAGGATTGTACGAGTGATGAGACTGTGATCAAATGTGAGTGTTTCCCATTTCGCTTTGGTGTGATCATCTAGCTAATTTATATACTAGATATGACGGATGGTGTGTTACTGCGAGAATCTCTCACCCAAAAGGATCTCGACAAATACTCGTGCATCATTATGGACGAGGCACACGAAAGAGCTTTGAACACCGACGTCTTGATGGGTCTCCTCAAGAAAGTTCTGACCCGGCGCAGGGATCTGAAATTGATCGTGACTTCGGCCACGATGAACTCTGAACGATTTGCGCGTTTCTTTGGTGGCGCCGCAGAATTCATCATTCCTGGCAGAACCTTCCCTGTGGATCTTCACTTCTCGCGCACGCCTTGTGAAGATTATGTTGATAGTGCGGTGAAGCAGGTCTTGGCCATTCATGTATCCCAGGGCCCCGGTGATATTCTTGTCTTCATGACTGGACAGGAAGATATCGAGGCAACCTGCGAGCTGGTCCAAGACAGGCTGAAGCAGCTGAATGATCCACCGAAACTCAGCGTCTTACCCATCTACAGTCAAATGCCTGCCGAACAACAGGCAAAGATCTTCGAGAAGGCCGCTCCGGGTGTGCGCAAAGTAATCGTGGCTACGAACATTGCTGAGACAAGTTTGACGGTCGACGGTATCATGTTCGTCGTGGATGCAGGTTACTCAAAGCTGAAGGTGTACAACCCGCGCATGGGTATGGACGGTCTCCAGGTCACTCCGATTTCCCAAGCCAATGCAAACCAGCGATCTGGGCGTGCTGGGCGGACTGGCCCAGGCAAGGCCTATCGTCTGTACACAGAGACGGCCTACAAGAAAGAGCTCTACATTCAAACTATCCCTGAGATTCAGCGAACCAGCCTTTCCAATACCATTCTTTTGTTGAAATCACTTGGCGTGAAGGACCTTTTGGACTTTGACTTCATGGATCCTCCCCCACAGGAGACAATTTCCACCTCTCTTTTCGAGCTCTGGGCGCTTGGTGCTCTGGACAACCTGGGCGATCTTACACCTCTAGGACGTCGCATGACACCATTCCCAATGGATCCCCCTCTTGCCAAGCTCATAATCATGGCCGCTGATGAATACGGGTGCAGCGAGGAGATGTTAAGCATCGTCGCAATGCTTTCGGTTCCAAATGTCTTTTATCGCCCCAAAGAACGAGAGGAGGAGTCTGATTCAGCCCGTGAGAAATTCTTCGTTCCAGAATCCGACCACTTGACCCTTCTCCATGTTTACACTCAATGGAAAACCAACGGTCACTCGGATGCCTGGTGCACCAAGCACTTTTTACACTCCAAAACCCTCCGTCGCGCCAAGGAAGTCCGTGACCAACTTCTCGACATCATGAACAAACAAAAAATGCCCCTCATCAGCTGCGGCACAGACTGGGACACCATCCGCAAGTGCATCTGTTCGGGCTTCTTCCACCAGGCCGCACGAGTAAAGGGAATCGGCGAGTTCATCAACCTCCGCACCAGCGTGACTATGGCACTTCACCCCACAAGTGCCCTTTACGGTATCGGCCACGTGCCCGAGTACGTCGTCTACCACGAGTTGCTCCTGACCTCCAAGGAATACATGTCCACAGTGACATCGGTTGACCCTCATGTAAGTTACCACTCCCTCAATCCCACCTGTGTTGTCATCTAGTACTCAGCTAACCCATTTCTCTCAGTGGCTCGCCGAACTCGGTGGTGTATTCTACTCCGTCAAAGAAAAAGGCTACTCGCAGCGCGACCGTCGCGTGACAGAAATCGAGTTCAACAAGCGCATGGAAATCGAAGAGCAGATGGCAGCTGACCGTGAACGCGCTGCTGCTGAGAAATTGCGCGAGCAAGAACGCAACGACCCCGCCCGTCGCAGAAAGGAAATTGAGGTTGGTGGGAGGTCCGCCGTACGTAAACCTATCATCAAGCCAGGGCGCAAGGTCGGCGGTTTGACTGCTTCGTCTTCTTCTTCTTCTTCTTCTTCTTCTTCTTCATCGCGACCCGGAGCCAGTGGCGATGGGGCTCAGGGCGGTGGAAGTCGTCCTGGAAGCAGTGTGGTGAAGAGGCCTACAGTGCCTCGGAGACCTGGACGTGCATTCTAGTTTTGCGGTGGAAACAACTTCTTTGGGGGCTGCGCCCTGCTTGTATAACATTATTTCGTCTTTTAAATCCATCTAAGATGGATCTTGTTCAATCGATACCCGCCATTGCGTTTTCATTCAGCTCATATCCGAATAGTCTGCTCTACACCAGGCGGTCTCCGACATAGAGTCATTTGAATGACATATACTTGTCAAACAAGCCAATCTTGTGAAAGCAGATAGGTCAAATATGAACAATATTTTTCACCTCGATCATAGACGAAGCGTATAAAACTAAAACAAAGATCGGCGAAAATGGTTCCAAGGTGTAAGGATATCTAAGAGAGGACATTCCCAACTCCATCTGAAGATCAAAATAAACCAACCCCAGACAGAAAACAGAATGAGCCAGCATGGTATTGAACGGAGGCTTCGAGCGCCGAGCACAGCTCAGTTGATAAAGTTGACGCAGAAAAAGTGTAGGATCAAGCTTCCGAAGATGTAATCGGCGAAAGCCCTAGAATTGAAGATCAGCATATGTATTCATAGTTTTGGGAAAGCAATTATGACATTGAATATCACCATAACCACAAGAAATACAAGAAAAGAAAAAAAGAAGAAACTCACCTCTCATGCGAAATACCCGTCCCCTGCTCTTCACTCTCATCTGCAAAGCGCGCATTCTTCCCCTTGGAGCTCGGCTTCGATCCAGAACCAGTACCACTATCGCTAGTTTGCATGCGCAGACTCGCCGTAAGAACAAATTGACCAACAGCAGCACTGAAGCCACTGAGGAAGGCATTGAAGGGCTATACAGGAGATTATGTTAGTGATCTATAGAGCTCCAATTGCAAGTCACACGTCGTATAGAAGGCAAGAGACAAAGAGAGCTGAAACAAAAACAAAAGAACCAAAACAGCATTTGCAAGTCAGAGCTTCAACCTACATAGTTTCCAGCTAGAACACAGTACACGAACTGCAATCCACCAACAAGAACCAAGAACGCCATGAAGGCATCTAGGAGGAGTGTCCGCTGCGGCGTTGTGGATGCATACTGCTGCCAGACATGACCGGCGATCTCGGCGGCTGACGCATTGGTCTTGAGAGTTGTTGGGCCTGAGGAGAGTTTGGGTGTTGTGGGCGCGGGTGCAGGCGTGGATGTAGAAGGTGCCGCGGAGGTAGTTGAGGCCGCGTGGCGCTTGGGAGCCATGATTTTGGAATTTGGGGTTTCGGTGGTGGTTTGGTGTGTATAATTGGCAATGAATTGATCTGGGATAGTACGGATGGCTATTTCACTGGGAAATTGGTGCAAGGACGGTGGGTTGGTGGACAATGGCGGAGTGGAGGGTGCTGGTTGATGCCAGCTTGGAGCTTGTTATCACCGCGGTCACGTGGTGGAGTAGATCCCGATTTAGAAGTATACAATTAAAGTGATAACGAATATTCTATTTTGGTTCATGGTTCATGGTTCATGGTTAAAGGTGAATTCTTTGATTGATGTGTTTAGATGGTTTCTTTATTTGAATTTGTATTTGATGTTGGGTATAAGGTGCTACGACAGAGTGTCGCTGATATATGTAGTGCACAAGAGAGGGGAGTATAATAACAGTGAGGGGAGTGGGATATCATCCAGTAACCAACGCCATAAATCATCAGATCATTAATAGCCAAAGTTTCAGGCGAGAAAGAAGTCGCCCTTCATAAAGAGGCTAGACAAACCATTCGGTGGCATTGGTTCCATTGACTGGCTGAGAATCCTCATTTTCAACATCCATCTGAAAATCACGAATGACTTGGTCCCATTCCTCCCAGTTGAGCTGACTAGCCTCGGGAAGTGGAATCTGATTCAAGAATGGATTGCTCGTGTCTGTGTTGTGGGGCAGACCTGCAAGGAAACTTGACGCCGAGACAATATTCTGCGCCGGTGGAGCATCAAATAGCTCGTTTGATGTCGCTAAGATGTTCGTGCCAGGGAACATTTCTTGAAAAATGCCTATTGGTCCATTTCTGAGGTCAATATTGTAGTCTGCATCAGATATAACCTGCGGTGTTGGGCCTGGTCGATTTGTTGGGGGCGAATCCAACATCCCCGTTGGCATATGAATCCGGGGGAGGGCATTGCTATTAGGGATACTTTGAACGGGCTCTGTTCTGGTGGGTAATGGTCCAAAACTGCATAGCAATTCTTGCTGTTGCTTGGTCCGAATGGCAGAAGCTCTTTTCATCAAGGCGGCGAGTGGCCGCCACAGCATGCCCTTCTTATGCGTGGCCTGCGTGGCCCATTCCGTGTAGATCGAACTCACAGCGGCCCAAGCTCGATCGGTCATAGGGCAAATTGGCCGCACGCATATTTCAGACAGAACAAATGCGACTCCGTGCCATTGCATATTGGTCCGGAACAACCAGCCCCATTTGGCGGTCTTGGGATCGGTTTCAAGCAAGTGGCCAAACTCGAGAACCTCGATTGCAGTCAGAAACAAGCTCTCTCGGGTTGCTTGTGACACATTTCCGCGGTCTCTTCGGGTCATGGGGTGATGGACGATCAACCATAATTTGGCAAGGATCAAACGCCCAACTGTGGCAGAGCACCACTGCACGGGGACGTTCATATCACAGTGCCTGATATACCGTTGTTCACATCGATCACTGATAATTTGAATCATCCGCCCAGCGCGATCTATGGGCGGTAGGCTGTTAGGTGCACGAAACTGGGCCCTGGGACACACGTAATTTGCTCTCCTCAAAGCGCTCGTGATCTCACAACGAATGAGGCAGAATGTTGCATCCGTGCAGCCTTCTCGCTCTTTAGGGGGCTCTTCCATTTCAGGCGACAGGTCGTCTTCGTTGATATTTAATGGCAGTAGAGTATCGTACATGTTCTCGTTAATGAGCGGGTCCGTCCCATGATCTTCAGATGAGCGGACATCCAACAGCGATATATGCCACCATAAGCGGCGCCGCATCTCTGTTTCGAACGGTTTCAGAGCGAAATTGGTGCCATCCCGGTGTAAGCCTAAACCTTGAGCAAGGCGCAATACGACCGATGTCATGGACCACACAAACTTGCTATCATCTTCTCGTCGCACGCAGACCAAGAATAAGACAGCGGCTTGTAGAAGGACCAAACTTTGTGTATTCAAGAACCCGGCTTTTGCCAGCGCTTGCTCTGTAGCAAACCTGTACCGCTTGACAGCAGTAGATCGGTCTTCGCCGAACCGGCTCAAGCACTCGTCAGGTTTCATACTGACAATGCTACAAAGATACATGGCAAATACTAGTGCCTCTGAATTTTTGTCCAGCGCATCTGGGTACCGTGCTGCCTCGGCAAATAGGTTTTTAGCAGTCGGTCGGTGCACGATGGTAATCAAAGGGGCCACGTTTTCCCGATATGTTTCCCAAAGTATTGCAACCTTGGGCGTGGGGGGATGAAACTCTCGAAGAGATTTTGAAAGTGAGTAGAATCCAAAAATGAACCCGTCATGTGAACCCGAGTGAGAAGATTCTGGTGAAGGTGTATCATCTTCCCCTGACGATGAATGATCAAGGATATCTTGCAGCTCCTCGATCTAAAAAAAAAAATCATGTTAGTATAAAGTACACTGGGTGGCAAAAGAAAATGGGGGATATCTACCTCGTCCCCTAGACTGGTCCAGAGTCGATTGCTAACATATCGGCTCCGGCCTTCATCAATGACCAACCGCCCAAATTCATTCTCGAACTTTTTGGGAGCAAGTTTCTTGGGGTCCGATTCTTCGAACGGACAGGGGCGGTCGCCGTCAGCCTGGTTGGGTGGTTTCTGTGGCTCAGCCGAGGCAGACGTGGGCGCAGTCGGTTCGCTTCGACCGGTCGAAGATCCAGGCGTAGATGACCCCGCCTGGGCTGATGTCGATGCACCTTCTGTATTACCACCGCTCCTAAGGTGATCAATCACACCCTCCAAACGGCGCAACCGCGAAAGCAGCTCCGCGTCCGGTGGACGCTTCGATTTCCGCGGCGCACGACCAGGAGGAGGGAAAATGCAGTCGATACCGGCTTTAGTACAATTCGAACACGGGGACCTCTTGTTACATCGGACTTTTCTGCGGCGGCAGGTCACACAGCTGCGGGAGCTCGAGCTCGGGGTTCCTCACCCGCGTGGCGGGGAAAGGTGGCGGTCAAATTCGTAGGTAGAGTATTATTGTTGACGGGGAAGAGATTCGGCTCCTCTGGTGAAGCTGAATGGAATGACATGGCGCTAAGTTGAAGTAAATCGGGTCTCGTTTCCCATATTTCCTGAAGCTTAGTAGTTCAAGAAATATCTGACGAAAATACGAGAATAGTAATCGATCGCATATGCACCAAATTATCCATGGATCGCTTGGGGCCGGGCATGCGAGCATGTGACTGGTTGACTGGAGTTTCAACCCGCGATGACTCAGCGCCGGGTCTTGCCCAGGTGGAGTCGTTGTCCCGTTTGGGTAAAAGGCCGTTATCTCCGTCGACTCCGAAGCTCATATACATCGTGAAAAGCCTAAAGCTACCTAAATATACCTATGATAAAATTTTGGTATATCTACGTCTTCTATGGTTATATTTAGCTCAAATATACCATCACCAGGTATATGCAAAAAACAAACACGCGTACTGAGACTGTCACCCTGGATATCAGATAAAGAAAGCGCGTATGCAAGACAGACGATCGGTATTCTAGTTATAGTTCGTCTATATGCACCATGTTACATATGTAAATGAGTACATGAGTATGAATAGGTCAGTTATTACCACGCAAGCCTCGTCGAAACGAGCGCTTGCATTTGCACCTAAAGGAAATCAGCCAGTCGTCCAGGTAAGATATGATGGCTATAGATCACATCGCGGACTCTCAACTCTTGGTCTGTTCATTGGTGTTTATTTGACTAGAGCCAATTGGTCGGCCAGTCCGATATTACAGGGTTTACGCATATAGACTTATTCGGGTTAAAGTTTTCAGGCTATGTTACTCTTCCAGTATACATGTATATATATATATATGAGATTTTGACTGGAAACCCCCGAAGAGACTTCCACACAAGGGGAATACATCACTCACATGTATCACCCACCAGCGAGAATATATAGATAGCTTTAGATAATCTGCCCCATAGTGATGCCCATCCTTGCACAGTAGCACTTCCGGATGACCATTCTGCTGTTTATCCTCATCAATGCGGACAGCAGTTACATCAACGAAAAGGTCAGACAACATATCAACCCAACGAGCATTGACCATATTCAAAATGCCTCGCTCCGATTGACGACATTATTGTGCTTGACCCCAAGAGAAGTTATGTACGGTCGCTATTGACAGTAGAAAGGTTGAAACGATGCTCAGTCACGTTGTAGTCCCGCACGTCTAAATTGTCGTCCCAGTGTCGATAATATACAACTAACTGGTTAGATGGTCTTTATAGAAAACAAACATACTAAGAATACTATACGAGATTGTTGGGCCTAGCTGAATTATGACGATTACAATAAAATATGGATGCTCTATCTAATTCCTCTAAACCTAAAATACGAGGTTCAAAAAATCAAAATCAAAAAAGAAATGAACCCGACCCGGATCGAACGGATGACCTTGAGGTCTGGAATCTCACGCGCTACCGCTGCGCCACAGGTCCTATTTTGATATATATTCATGTATTGGTAAGGAATTTATACTACAATTTCCAAATTCGCAGACAACGTCTTATAACCTCATAAGGTTCCTCAATGATGCATTGCTGTTGAGATTACGAAGTTTTAACTTTAACACGTGGACAACCGGCAGAGTTCTATATGTGAAACGCAAATTTAAAACTAATATGCCCATAGCTGGCGAGGACGCGCATTTCGCCAACGCTATATTCGTTGGCGTCTCCTAACTCGACCGGCTTGGCTGGTATCAACATAAAGTGGTGCTTAGAAAATCATCGGGACATACGCGTCCTCTCCTGTAACATCACTTCCGTCTGACCGCCGCCCGACCCGCACAATTACCCGGGTTGATAGAGTTCATGTATGTAAGGTTAGATATGGATCGCCCTTCACTAAGATATCATCTTTACCAGCTAGTACTGCGGCCAATCTTCGGTTAAAGTTTCATGATCAACTCAGGAGACCGGCTTTATGTCAATGTCTCCGGGAAACTTCCGGAGGAAATCCCACTCGCCTCTAGCAATGATCTCCAATGTTCCGTTATGCGTTACAGCGGCGCAAAAAACTCATCATTTGCATATTAGAGGATGGAGGGTATAGTAGATACTCCCCAGACTTGATCAACAGCAGCGAATCGCAGCGCATTTAGGGACGTAGGTAATCTGTACAGCTTGAAGATGGCCAATCATATAAGACTGCGTAAGAAGTTAAGCCTTTTTCTGTTGTGCACTGGTCACTCTCCGAAGAAACCCCGAGCCCGAGCCTCATGGGATCTTCCTCCTACTATAACAGGGAGAAATGAAAATCAAGCTTGCCTAATCTGGAAAATTGCTATTTTAGTTTCTTCAAATTATAGCCTTTACTCCCCATGTCGACTATGAGTGGATCGGGTTTATTTTCCAGCTGTGCAATCGGGAAGACTTGAACTAGTTCTTTTCATGATATCGGAAAGATAGCATTTCTGCTCATAGCTTGCAAGCTTAATAACTCGAAGTAATGGGAGCACGTGCCCAGGGGCATACCGCTGAGGTGGAATTGTCCCTCCGCGCGTTACTTGGCGTTGAAAGTGGAGTACTCTGAAAATCGTGGCATGTGGTTTTCCACATTAGTATAGAGGCAAATTGAAACAAACATGCAGATCCACAACGGAATGTGGTACCCGTGGATAACTGTACTTTGTAAGGGAAAGATGTCGGCTGTCAACATACAACATATACAGAGCCTAAAGACGTTCGGAGACATGTCCATCTATTCCATAAACCACGGGCATTGCCGCCAGAAATCACGCGCTAAAATACTTGTCGAGACACAGAGTGGACACGAGAGATAAATCTACCCAGATAGTTCGTAACTGGTTAATAACAAGCAGGGAAATCGCACAAATCTCCTCAATAAAGCAGCGTTGTTACCGGCTGTATATATATAACCGACTGACTGGGATTGGAAATCTCACCCTACGGCTTTAAACCCACATTTAACTCTACAAAGTACATAGCACATGTCAAAGAACACCTCTTTTGCTCGAATGTTCCATAGTGCCCACTTATCCGGCATACCGAGAATATCATTCCCGGAGGAAGATCAGCTGAATCCTTTGTCACATGCTTATAAGGATCGTCTTCTGGCTCATCGTTAAGTGGGCTCATTGTGGGGTGAACAACAATTGAGACATGCAGATATAGCCCAAGGGTCAATTTATACTCCTTGGTGAAGACGATCTATATCCCGATGAGACTTTAATACTCTGTTCAGTGGATATCGCACAGAGTGTTATTTCACTGCGACCGGTCAGGGTATTCAGAGAATTGGCCGTTGATATTTTCCAATTTTTGATAAATCATTTTTATATGGTAACAAAAATGTTTATATCCTTAAAAGTACGAATTCATATTTACCTATTTCCCTCATCTCCGCAAATAGGAAGCTATAGCGAGAATAAAAGGCACATGAACCGATTGGGGCAACCGGCCCTAGCCGTCGGGCACTTTCGATAGGCCAATAATGAATGGACTGTCGATACCAATGGCTTTGCAGTGGAGATTTGGTAGCATAATGATTCGCTATGTTTAGCTTTAGGCTTTCAACCTTCATAACCGTTTCATTTATAAGTCAATTAGGTAGGTATACGCTGGTGCCTATCTTCTCCCTGAACCAGCCACCGTGAAAGAATATTGGTCGATCACTCGAATATTACTAGTAGTTAGTAGTGTCCTACATATGTACTTGTGTGTACCGGATTTAGATTTTGCCGCCCGGGGGGTTGCCGCTTTATCAGGGAGCTTAGTTCAGTTGTTTACTCGTATATAAATATATATGTCTGGCTCAATTGATTTACTACTACTAGGATTAATCCTAGATATCTAACGTGGAGGAATAAGAACCATTTAAACAATACCATACATAAGATTGATTTCACTTCATCGTATGCTTACATTGCCTAGTGGAGTTGAAAAACGGCATAGACTTTGTGGGCACTAGATGTCCATAGATAGCCATGTATAATAGGCCACGTCGAAGACGTTACAATTGCATAGCCGGCGGCAAGGCATTGGTTGTGCCCAGTAAGTATATACGTATAGTTTTGGACAGTTGGCATTTGAGAGTATGGATAGTCAACAGCGAGGTATCCAGATATGGATTTTGATAGGGAAAAAGAAATGTTGGTGATGGGGTGGTAAGTTTAATCGAACCTTATGTTTAGCTTTGTTCTGTGTGAAGATCTGTTCGTTTATGCCTGTGTAATTGAACAAAAACCGCTCCAAGGCGCTGAGCGATCGAGCCTCAAGCATTGTCAAAGAGTCAATTAGTGGTGTAGCGGCATAGCCGCGGAATAGTAATGCTAATAAATGTCCTCTATTCCTGTGCTCTCCCAGCTAGAGGATAACATTGAGCATTGAAGAGTGCTGAATGTAACTATATAATGCCCCGGATTGTGTTCTTCCAAGGTTGTAACGTGGTGATCAAAAAGCGGCAAGGGATAAGCACTAAAATAGAAAGGAGAGACATATCGGCCCGGAATCTGATGTATACGTGTATGTAATATTACCAGACTATACATTATATGTATTTTATCTTCTATCCAACTTAGCGCGGAGAAACAAGGATTCTTACCTTCTCCACTTCTCCAGGGCTTCTAGCCTTCCCTGAATGTTTTAGCATCTTTTTGCTTTAAGCTTCGATTTAATTTTCTAGCTTTCACATGATAAATTCCTGAATTCTTTAATTCACATCCTTGTGGGGTCTGACATCGAAATCTATCGGACATTTTTTGGTTGATTCAACTTTCATGTCAGTCCCCCCCATTGCACGATTTTCACTCGATAAAATGACTCGATATACCCAGTAACAATCGTTACTCGGACCTACCATTGAGGCCGTCTCATAATTTATGCGAAACAACCACCAAACTCTCATTCCATGACGGTTTCTGGCAAGCCTGTGTGTGTGAATATGTCAGAGACCTCTTCCACACCTCAAGGCGAATCAAGCAACCCCCAAGGATCAGCCGCCCAGCAATTAAATAGATCCTGCGAGTCTTGCCGGAGCCTTAAGGTCCGCTGTCTCCCCAGCCCATCCACGCCTAATCAATGTCAGCGATGTGCCAAGGGCAAGCGATCATGTGTCTTCGTGGCGCCGCAGAGACGGCGGCCCCGGAAACGGACAGATTCACGTGTCGCCCAGCTCGAGAAGGAGATGCGGATGATGCGTTCGCTGTTGAAAAATCGCATCCCCGAAGAAGAAGAACCGGATTCTAGTGGCGAAAGCGACGCGGACGATGTCCAGGATCATGATTCGGGCGATGCCGATTTTAAGAGCAGTCTTGCCTTGCGGGACCATTCCGCTCA